CACATTTATCTCGAACATTAAAAAAAAAAAAGTTTACCTTGAAATGACCTCGAAAAATGACCTCGAGGTCAAAGACAAGGTCACCATCTAATCGCTTGGTCAAAACCTTAAATCTTTTGTCTAAAACGTTTCTCACCAAGCCACTTGCCTCGTAATTCATTACTATGCTCAAGTAATGTGAGCTTGAAATGACCTTGAGGGGTCCCTTGGACCCATGGGTCAAATACATATTTGAATGTAAATTTTCCCGCTCTTTCCGATTCTGGAATAAAAAATGGGGGTTTCCATTTAAAAAAAAGTTGACCTTGAAATGACCTCGAGGTCACCATCGAATCGCTAAGTCAAAACTATGCAACTTTTGTCTGAATGATTTTCTCGGAAAATGCGATCCTGGAAATTTATTTAGGGGTACTGATACTTTTGTTACACACTGTATATATATATATATATATATATATATATAACGTCGAAACATTTATTTAATAACTTAATATATAATTATTTGGTTCAATTATTTCACAATATATACTTTGAGCCATCGATAAACTTATAGCTTATAAAAGAGAGAACTCTTAAATCCGAAATTTAGAAATCCTCATTTAATTGAATAACAAAATATTTATATTAAGTAACAGTTGTATCCAGTGAGAGATGAATGTTATATCAATAAGTTACATAATGCTGCTTGCGTATATTGTGCTTTAATCGATTTAATCCACTTTTATATTTAATTTAGATAATGCCAATATACTAGTATAAGTAGTAATGGTCCCACGGTTTTGGCTTCAAATTACAGTGTGGTTTTGAATTATTCAAATTAATTTCCTCTTTGTGTTTTATACTATAAGAGTAACATTTATGAATATACGGCTGTCGATTTTTACAAATCAACAGAGTTAACAAGGTTCTGTTTAAATCAACGATGATAATAACAATTAGTGAAATGTTGAATACATGTACACGTTTAATATTAAGCACCAACACCAAGAGGATCATTATCAGATTTTTAACGAAATAACGAAAGAATGAAAATACTTAAAAATCATATTTTAAAGATAAAAAGCACCGAAATGTGCAAAATATTATTTATCGTAAATATCATATTATTTAAAATTTCATATATACACGGACAATACTCCAATAATACATGCCGTGTAATTTTTTTTCTCTCTTTCTCTTTTTTAGAAATCCCATTTTTTTATTTTATTAATTTCGGATTTATTTTATACAAATAAAACAGTTCTTTTTTTTCTCTATTGACTCAGCATAACACAATTTCATTTCTCAAAGAATCCTATCTAAAATCATAGTATCATAGAACAGTCACATGCGGGGCAATACATCCTTCATACGTCTACAAGAGGTTTACAAGACATATTTTCATTCTTAAATTCGTCAGTATTTATTTTTGACAAAACCATTAACCATCAATACAAATAATGTTGTTACGTTTATTTCCATGCTATGGTACGTCTTATTGGGATGCAACGCTGGACGCATTGATACATGTGTGATGTACAACTATGATGTCACTTACGCTGTTTTACAGCGATCATAGGTTAGCGCCATACACTATTAGGGATTGATCCGGTTTTGGTATACATTTGTTCGCACTAGGGACGTTAGTTCTAAGTAGAAACATCACTGTATCGATAATTTTTCATCGTTTGTCTAATTGTCCTTCTACACTATATATTTTGTACATATGTAGATTCGTGCTCTTTGAGTCTTGAATACTATTTTATATTTTCCATAAAGTTAAAATAATGTAAAACATTTCTACTATTTTCGAATAATATTTTTTAAGAGAATCGCTTTATTTGTCAGGTCGGTCAAAAAGTTCGGTTTGTCGATTGATAATTAATAACATTACATATATGCAGACAAACTGATCATATTCCTCTGTGAGAACATTGATGCAGGATGAAGAAAGAGATAACGGCGGCGATTATTTAGTTCACAAATAATTTGTTTCCATTAAATGCAAACCAATCAAGTTTAATCCAAAAATCAACCCAAACCTTTTGACTGATTAAAGTGAATATTAAAGCTTCATGTTTTTGCTATTAAAAGCTGATACTTTTTATAAGCTTTTTCGATCTATCGCATTATTTACAATTTATTTTTTACATCTTCACACAAATGTTGTTCTATGGCTTTTTTTAAATTCTGCCTTATGATTTACAATAGCATACATCTCACACTAACGTCTCTTTCCACATCATTAATATTATTTTCCGTATTACTTTACATATCTCCTTTCATTGATAGATTGTGAGTTGTAATATTAATCATGGTTTATTCGTGTATACACACATTATAATGTATCTGTAATGCATAATCGTTTGTAGAGGCTTAGCATTATATCCTTTCTTTTTTGTAGATCTGTAAAATAACCGAGTAGTATACTTTATTGCACCTACATAGAAATCAATATATATATATATATATATATATATATATATATATATATATATATATATATATATATACACTAACACACACACACACACACACACACATACATATATACAGGGTGTCTCACACTCTCCTCCGGACATTTTGTGGGGACGTAGAATGGGTTGATGTGAACATAAAAGTCCTATACCATTTTGCGATATTCTTAATAATAATCGAGAAATTAATTAAAGAAGATTGGTGAATGATTACACACGATATGGTAGATGAGCTGCAGTGGCACCGTCTGCCGTTCTATACTTATACATTAAGTCAAACTGAACAAAAAAGTCTTCTACCATTTTGCAAATAACCACATAGATTTTTAGATATTAATTAAAGAAAATTGTTAC